TATATTCATTTTTTTTTATAAAGTTAGACTAAGGATTGAACTCTTAGAATAAAAGACCGAGAACGTCAAAAAGCATATATAAAAAATTCTGTGAAAGACATGGTACGATTGACATTAAGGTTCTTGAACGACATCTTTCCTTTTTCTACCAGCACCTTGCAATGTCCCGGAAAGTTAATTTTTAAGACAATATTTGATTGACAAATTCTCGCCACAAAAATAAATGATAACAAAACCTATATGATTTAAACACCTTAACAAAATGATCATACCAATGCATATGTTTAGCCAAATGCATTATAGTTCGAAAATTTCACATCAGCTGCCTTAATAGGGGCTTCATATATACCAAGAATTGAATAGAATTAAAAAGGCTGGATGAAGAAAAATAATTTTTAAAAATTATTCAGCCTGTCCTTGAGAAAGGGGAAATCAAGGGACAAACAAGTTGACTATTGAGGCCGAGAAACCATTGTTTCCTTGCTCACCCTCCCAATCATTGGAATCGAGTTTTCTTTGAGAACCTGGCCCAGTTCTTCTCTGGCTTTCTGTAGATTCAAATACAACCATAAAACGGTAAAGAATATTGAAATAATGAAACGAATTATAAATCTACTGAAGGCTTACTCTTGTTAGTAATTGCAGAACGAGTAAAAGCTAAGAATTCGTCCCAGTTAAATTTCCCAAGTTCCTGTTTTTCGTTCTCTGAGAGCTCAAAGTTGGGTTCCCTTCCACACATGAATGCGGCCCTGCAATGGACAAGTCATCTCAAGTTCTGATTTCAGAGCCTTCGAACAAGAAAACAAACTGGTATTATATATCTAGTGATAGTTCCCATAAGCATGGTAAGAACTTTCAAGATCACGAGGCAATGTGACTTTCCGTGCCCTATTTTGCATACAAGAATAAACGGAATCAATAAGAACTTATGCACCAGGACCTATTGGTTTGACCATAAAAGTCGACCCAAGTCACTAAATCTACTTGCTAAAATAATTACATACGAAAACAAGGGACAGATGGATCCAAGGACGAGGAGAGAAGCTGGTTTTACAAACTGCAAGAAAGGAAAAATTTTCCTTGAGAATCAATGGTATCCTCGGACAATACCTGTCATAAAGCCTAGCAGCCTCTTCTTGAGAACCAACAGTTCCCAGGTGGATCTGTTTCTTGTCAACCTTGATTGCAGCTTGCCATTTCATATTCTTGAAATAGACACCCCTCATAATACACTGTTCTTGGTTTTCAACGTGTTTTCTCCTGTGCCGCTTTCTGCGTTTAACCTCTGGAATAAAAGATAGATTAGATCAAAGACCCAAGGGAAGGGAAAAATCATTGTATACTCTATGTTCATAACATACAAGTATCTTAGAAGAAATCAAATAATGTACAAGAAGATTACATAGGCATATACTTGACGACCATCCTTATCATCTGATAAAATCGACAGTTACAGTCTGGGTGATACTAATCTACAATGAGTCAAGAGTATTTAGATTCCACAACAGATTTCCTTTCATCTTGGCCATCTATTTGCAAACACATCAACACAGGCAACAAGCATTCGTTCTTCGACATACCTTAAAAAAAACATCTGTTTTTTCCAACTTCCAGCACAATCTTTTTTCCATTTTATAATATGGGAAAGCTACCTTCCCCTTGGGACACGAAATGTTAAATGCTAAGAGAAAATTAGGTCCTTTGCAAATTATTGACACAACTGCTGCCGAACCCTTCTATTTCTCTACATCCCACCTCTCTATTTCCACCGATTGCAAACCCCCAACTATCACAGTCTCGGCCCACGTCCTTTGCAACCATCATGATCACCTCATTGCAATCAGCCACTAGTTTACAGGAAAAGTTTGTACATGTCATGGTTGGAAGATCCAAATTTGGTACCTAAACTTCGTACTGGACTCCTTCACGATAAATTTTAGTAATTACGAAAAGGGGAAGAATTCAGAGTCAAAGATAACAGCACATCTTTCCGTAACTCTTGCTCATGACTTTGTTAAAGAATCTGAACCGTTATTCTTATTTTAGTTTTTTATGCTTCTTTAGAAAGCATTTTTCGAAATTGGAACAGGCTTAGTCAAAAGGTACTAATAAAAGAAGTGAGGAACACATCACCTAGCAGAACATATCAAAAGTGGGGAAGTACAGATTGCAAAGCAGAACACACGTGTGCACATGCGTATTCAAATAACTTTTCGATCCATCATGCGTCCAATGGACCATCATTCAGCAAGACTATACGACGTGTGAATGAAAACATGAGTAAGAACAGACCTGGGAATTGATGAATAGGATGCTCTTTTAATGGTCTGGAAGCAGGCACGTTTGATGAACCAGGCCCAAGTTCCACAGAAATTTTCTAGCCAATAATAAAGATTGAAAAGGAATTCAAATTTAATGTATTATTTGTGGATAACATATAGATAATAAGCTTAGACTTAAAAGTGAAGCGTGAATACAATAAAGAACTCAACAGTTAACATAGTACAGACAATAAACACTGAACACGAGCATGCACATATTTACAGGTGGAGAAATAGACACAAATTCATATTAGCAACGATGGAAATGATTTGCTCTTCCAATTCAAGCTCTATGTTATCTTATAAATCGACTACAAAGAAAATGAAGTCCAAGGTAACGCAAAAGGTTCCATGTGGCTTTCTTCACTGATTATAAAATTTTCCACAAAATGTTATGCCAAGGATGCAAAAAATATGAAAAAGAATTGTATATTAAGACTACAGCAGATCTCTATTAGACCATCCTAAACAACCTCACACAAAGAAATTCGCTGATATTGTAAATACAGGAAAGCATAACTTATTCATATATAATTAAGAGAATTATATATTCAACCGTCTTTTTCATTGATTGTAAAAATTAAGTACAGTACACTAAGAGTGAGAGATGAAACAATAGGTTTCTAGATCTTAAACAGGAAAGGACATCAAGTCTCTGTTTATCTTTAGACATAACATCTTCATTAGCAACTGAGCACTCAAATTCAGGAATGACAAAGGGAAGTCAGTAAATAATAAAAAGAAAATGTTTCAACCCAGTTAGGGAAAGATCAAATCCTACCACTGAGACTTCAGAACTTAAAAAAGCTAAGATTCCAATTTTAAAATGGTTACAAAACAATCGCCAATGGTTATGAAATGATTTGGCGTACATGAGAAAAGTTACGATTCAAAATTATAGATAATATTTTATGCCTAGAAGAAACAATACTCCAATAAATCCATGAATACCTCCTTTGGTGGGTCAATATCATCTAAAACCATGGGGTGAACCCTGACTGGTTTTGTGTTATCCACAAGATTTTCGGGATGCTGTCCATGCTCAGACTTGGAAAGTGGAGCCACTGAAGAATTCCGCCCTGTGTTATCATCTAAAGTATCAAAGGCTTCATTCATGGCCAAAGGCTAGAATTTTCTAATAGAATGCAGAAGGAAAAAAGAAACAGATATGTGCTCCATGAAAGCCAGTACAAAATAATAGATAGTCAAAACGCAAGCTTACTTTATAATTTTATTTTATTTTATCAACAACCATATAATATTTAAATTTGCATACCTGAACAGAGTCCTAAGAGCTTGCGCCTTCGAATGCTCACCATGGCCGTTTCAGTATCCCTAATAGGCGGAATATTAAGTTATCTAATAACTTTCTACATTCACCAAAGAAAGATAAAAAATGATACATATCAAGCCCAAAATAAGAAACGAAAGGACTCATGTATGATAAAGGTTTACAGCATGTGAGATCATATGATTTAAATAAAAAGCATTATGTGCAAGATAAGAGTGTCATATTCGAATGTCAGAAAGATACTAATATAATTTCCAAAGAGTGTTGACGTTTGAAAGCAGGAAACAGCAAGAGATAATTAAAAAAATAATAATTATAAATTCCCCTGAAAATTTTTTAGCAACTGAATTGGGGCTTAAACTATTAATTTCCAATATTAGTCAAACAGCATCTATGCGTTCAGCCTCAAAATTCATTACAAAAAATTTATAATTGCCAAAAGAATAGTCGTAGACATTCAAATCATGGCAACGTACAATAAATGTAGAATCAGCTACATGAATCCCTATTCACCACTCCTTGGGAACACATTTCTTTGTGAAATTCAGAAATTATCCACTCAGTTGACAAAGTGTATGATAACAATGGCATGTTCCTTAAATGCAAAATTTACACCCTCAAAAAAAAAAAAGTCACAAACTCGTACAGAAACCAAATTAGACCAGTAGAACTTTGACAAACCAAGAATTATTAAGAATTAGCCGATTTCAACCCACATTCGGGAATAATTCTTTTAAGGATGTGAAGTAACCTTGACAAGACTCTGAACTGAACTAAGACATCTGTTATTCGTATTATACAATGGAAACCAGATGAATAGTTAAAAAAGTTCATAGTTCATTCAAGTGAGAAGCCTTGAACCCCTACTGGCATTACCCACAAAACTCTATAAGGTGATGGAATGACAATTTATAGATAAAGAATGCTATAAATTTAAGCAAAACAAGTATCAACATAACCAGAAATAGAATTTCGAGAAATCAACACAAATGCCCCAAATCATTCCTTTTATCTCTTAGAATTCCAAGTCAAACCCACCAACCTACCACCTTTCATGGAGCCAAAAATGTGAAATTAACAAAATTGAATAACACAAACTTGTCCAACAAACCATAAAGGAAAATCAAGAAACCAAAAAACCCACATGTAATAAGAAGATTTGTCATCGTTAAAAACAAATGCCCAAAGCCCATCAAGTTAATTGCAATTAGTACTAGTATACAAGTCAACCTAGTTTTTAACACCCGTTTACAAAGAAAGACAACAGAATGTTACAAGGTATTATGAAGAGTGAGAGTTGATACCTGAAATAAACAGGACAAAATAAAAGGGGAAAACCCAATAGTTTGTGGTTTGTGAAAACTGAGGCCAAAAATCAACTTAGGCGGCGGTGGGTGGGCGTGGGATGGTGGATTACAAAGGGAAGGTGGTGAGAATAGAGAGGGAGAAAGATAGAGACATTATACTACAATAGTGGTTGGTGTTTAACTCATGCATCTACCACCTTTTATTTTATCTGTACTCTTACTATATCTTATATTTGGAGAGGGTGACCATGGTTAGAGAGAGAGAGATAGATACAGATATACATATAGAGAGCGAGTGAAGGAGGGTGTGGGTTGATAAAGACGAGGGTACCGCTTCTATTTTGTGTATTTTAAAGGACGAAACTGCCATTGGGCTTTTCTAAGTAGAAAGCATTGTTGGTGCATGAAAATTGACTAAAATGTCGAAGAAAATAAGCCCTTGTTTGATACCAAAATTTCTCGAGTAATATATTTTTTTATTAAAATAATATTACACATAAAATTAATTTTTTTATTTCTTAACCACACATTATTCATCAATTAACTATTTCAAAATACATTCTTACTAAAAAAATGGAAAAAAAATTAGGGGCTAAATACACACTATATGATTTTATTTTTCAAAAGCCTAATTAGCACAAAACGTTCTCATCTTTCAATTTTTTTTTTATATAAAACATCCATAAATTTTATTTTTTGATAATTTCATCCTGATTTTCATCTTTCATTGAGGAAAATGTCCTTTCATCCAACCCACAGTCAAATGCTCTATCAATTCAATAACAGGTTAGTTAGCACAAAATGTCCTCATCTTTCAATGTTTTTGTTCAAAATATTCCTACCTTCGATTTACAAAGGTATGAATGTTTTACATGACTTAATTTTAAAGGTAGGAACATTTTTTCGCAAAGTATGTTTAAAGATAGGGTTGTTATATGTACAACGTATTAATAGGTATGAATGGTTATTACAAGTTCAATTTCAAGCTAAAAAGAAAAGAACAAGTCCATTTCATCNATCGAAAGATGTGGACTTTTTGTGCTAATTAGCCTTTTTAAAACACCGGAATAAAATGTATAATCCTATAATAAAATCTCAATGAACGAATGTTCGATGTTAACTTGTGTCGGCGTATTAATAACAATCTTCCTATCGGTATAAGATAATTATTTTATTTAAAGTCTTAACAAAAATATAAAATAATAATTGAATAAATATTACAGTTTTATAATGCATATTAAGGAAGTTTTCACTTGAAAATTTATAATTCGTTTGAATGTCATTTCATATGGTTTTGTATACGTGTCGTCTCGAGTGCTTTAACACACAATTCTTATAAAATGGTATAACAAAGTTTGTAGAATTGAAAATTAATCAAAGAAATTTTTATCTGTTCTGTTTATTCAATCTGGACTAAAATACATATAAAATTTATATGATAAATATCAATAACAAGCAAAATGAAATGCATGATCAATCTACCAACTATGTGTCCCCAAGTTTTACATGATCACGTGCAGTGCATGCTCAAATTTTAATTTACCAAGAAGAACGTTTGATTAAATTTAAAAGAAATTTTATATATATATATATGTAAATAAAAAAATCACTGAAATTACTTTTAATTAAGTAACTTAATTATATCTAATATCGATCAATAAAAACTCAGTAGATTAACGTTAAATACTTTACTTTATTCTTCTTTTTCCAACAAACCATATCTTGAAATCCATTTAATTTCAATATAGTAAAAAAGTAATGTCAAGTCATAAATACATAAATTTACAGGGTTACATTAAACAATGTAACTAACAAAATGCTAGTTTGAGGGTAATTAATTCAAATAAGCAATATGAACAATAATCCCATGAAGCAGTGACAAGTCAAAGGTAGAAAAGAGAGGGACAAAATAGGAAATTCGGTGAAAATAATAATGTAGGGGTGAAGCAAAGGGTTAAACCAATTATTAATGTGGTCGGGTGGCAGAGGAAAAATAAAAGCACCGACGAAAATATGATTGGATAGGCCGCCTGCCAATGCCAATTCTTCTATTCTATGGATAATGTGTTTGCGTTTTAGCGTTTGGCAATTGGCACGCTCTTGATTGGTTGTACTCAAAGATCGCTAGGTGCGATTAATCAAATAAGACAGCATCTATAAAAAAGAGAGTAATGCTATTCGTAATTGGTCACTGCGGTAGTCGCTTTACGTGACATACACATGACAAGTGATTATTTGATACATTAATGTTGTAGTTTTTTTATTCATTAATGTATTAAATAATCACCAGTCATGTGTATGCCACGTAGGACGACTATTGTAGTGAACGACTACAAGTAGTATTATTCATAAAAAAGATATACATCATCAAATAATCGTTATTTATTTTGAAGTAGTTCGACATAGAATTCGAATATTTTATCTTTTATTAGTTTGACGTAGAATTTGAAGATGTTATATTTTATAAAAAAAATTATTATTTTACACTTCACTACAATTTTGAAACGTCAAATATGCAAATATGACATCTATTAGTTACTTTGGAGTTTCATCACGTTATTGATGAGCCGGAAGGCATAGTTGGGGTAGGAAACCAACCCCATCGATGTTGATAGAAATGTTCGCGACGCCATGAAGATAGCCTTCCTCTATTCGAACTCGCTGACTACTCTTAGAAATAGATATAAAATGTTCACTTTTTTGTTAATAACATGTAATTGATATAACGAAAGGATAATGCTGTTTGTGTAATATTTTTTTGACAACGTTGATTCTCCCTTCTCAATTGATCCTACTGGGCTTCAATCTCGTGGCCCAAATAAACAACATAAAATGCTCCAAGTATCCACCGAAAATCAAGCAAACTAGGGTTTTTAATCGACTCCTGATCCGTAAATCGATAGAGGAAAATGATTTACGACGTTAATTCTCCACTTTTCCGATCCTTCCTCAGCCAGAAAGGAGGTTCTTCTGATAAGAGGTATTTACCGTTTAATCATGTTTTTATGACTTTCTAGATTTTCTCCATTTTTTATTTTTATTTTTATTATTATACATATTACGTTTTTCTTTCACAATCTAGCTTTTACCATATCATTATATCATCTATGAGATCATTCAACCAACAATTCAGTTCTTGGGATGTTCTTCTGATTTTTATATAAATTGTTGGCTAAACTGAACTCCTTACGGTTTTTATGCATTTGTTGGAAGAGTTTCATTGAATTTTTGAAATGGGTTGAATAACTTTGTACTTCAATTACAAGATCGATGTTATAAACTGAACGTACGCATTGATTCACAGCACTCTCTAGGTTTAATTGGTTGTGTTTTCTTTCTTTATCCTCTGTAGTTGTTAAGTGGATACTGCTGCTTATAGCTTATTTGACGACTTGATTAGAAGTCGTAATCAAGCGCACAGATGAAGCCCAATAATTATGAAGTAGTAATATTGTATTATCCCAGTATATCTGCACATAATTGGGTTGAAACAGCTTATGTTAAGTTGTTTCAATCTACTGCAGAACTTGTACACTTCCATTGTACATTGTTTCAATATATTTTGTTATGCCTTTCAAGATTCGATCTGGTGAGGACGTGCTTTGGCAAATTTAAAGCAACTTTTTTGAAGAGGAAAATTAAGTTAGTTGCTTAAATTTGAATGTTGTCTCGGTTTAATTGACGGGCTTTGTACACTTGAACGCAATTCCAGGAAAACGGAAGAGCAGAAGCCGAGGGAACATAAGCCAAAGGCAAATGAAAACAAGCCGGTTATGACAGAGTAATAAGAGTAAGCTTTAAACATGGATAGATTACCTTGAAGGCTATTGATAATTTTTATTAAGCATTCTATCCTTGAACTAGTTGTGCTATTTGTGGTTTAAATCCAGATATTACATAAATGTCCATAGCTTTTGGTTTGGAAATTTGATCTTAGTGTTTATTTGGATGTTTCATTTCGGAGAAGAGTGGGAGAAAGATAGTGAATTGGCGAAAATGTGGATAATTACACGAGCTAAAATGTGGCAATCGAATTAGATTGAAATTTGTGTGTGGAATCTTTCATCTGATGAATTCAAAGACCACACACAAATTTATAGATGTCTATTCTTCGCTTTTAAAAATTATAAAGCTCGTGTAATTGTATCCACATTCTTCTTGTTTCCTAAATTCAGGAGGAGCGTCACTGTCCGTGCTTCTGTCCCGTTTACCATTTGGGATAGGGCAATGTCTGGACGATAAATTTTGCTATCCTTGTGCATAGCCAGTCTAGTCTCACTTCCGCTTCTCAAGATCAAGATTAAATGAATGCAGTTCTCGTTCTATAAAACAGATATGCTTCTAAATTATAATCTTTTGCTTTTGAGGAAGTGATGATCCACCAAGACAAAAATAATCTTCAACTCTTATTATTAAGGTAAAAAGCAGGTACAATTTAAGATTATTTAGACCTTAATCGTATTATACCACAATTCTAAATATTATAAAATCTTTTAATTATATGAAAATTTTTATTTAACCCCAATTATCTGTAAGTGCTAATTGAGTAAAATTTTAAAATATTTGAGATATTATATGAATATTTTGATAATTTAATTGATTTGTGAATGTTGAATTGGGTTGTTAATTGAGGAAATTTTAACATATTTGAGATGTTATATGAATAATGTGATAATTTAATTGATTTGTAAATGTGTAATTGGTATTACAAAAAATAGTATTATAAATTGTAATCGTATTATGAATAGTTGATTTTACTTGAAAATGTAAATTGTAGTTGACTAATATCGAGATTTCGTCAAAAATCAAGTATGAAGAAAGGCTGACAACTAACTTCTAATTTATTATTGTCCATGTAACCTTTATGCAGGGGCAATTAAAAGTCAAGACACAATAAACAGTGCGGTGAACGGATTCGAGTTTGCTTTTTCTTTGAGAAATCAATACCTTGGCGGTTGAGCAATGCGATAGAATCTGAGTTTTGGAAATGTTCGTCGGCGTCAAATTCATGAAAATTAAACTCCCGTACATAGTAACATTGAGTCACAAAATGGGGAGATTACGGGTAATTTGACCTCCATTGTCGCAAGCGGAAATAGGCTAAACTCTAGATTGATAGTAATTTTTCACCTCAAAAAATGAATTTTTTGATTGTTATTTTACTATTTTAATCATCAATTTTTACTTTTTGAGTCATAGGTGGGATTTACTTCTCTATAAAGGTCAAAAAATCAATTCTCATAATCATTATCGAACAAGTCATAAGAGCTCAATATATAGAGTTGAATTCATATTTTTAATTATTTTGTCATGCCTTTAATTGGCATCGTCGTGTTGTGGATTCGATTATTGTTGTGCCTTTTTAATTGGCAAGGATATAAACTTTGTTGGGATCGAGTACCCCAATTTTTTCATATTCGCCATCTCATATTTTACTCTATAAACTACATTTTATTGTAATTGTCATTTATAGTAAACTAAAATAGTGACAATCACCAATAGTAATGAATAGCATTATTCTCAATGCAACATTGTAAATTGCAATTAATGTTTCTAAACGTCTACTAATCACAATATTTAATGATTATGTTATGCTCACGTACGTTAGGTTCTAATTAATCATCATTAAAAATGGTCGAGAATGAGATATTTCTCCGACTTCCACAAGATCAACTTGTGAAGCAATATGGAGGAGTGGTATTGCAATGGTCACTTGTCCAGACCATTTTAACCAAAAAATTTGAAAAGGTGGCGTGACACAGAATATACAAATTCCTATAGCCTAAGAGACGGTAATTTTTAATAATTCATATTCGATTTAACAACTTGACCTCTTAAACATAATTAACAGAACAAGTTTGTTTTGAGTTCAAGTCTAATCATTCTTTATTTATGAAAGATTATGTGTCAGCTATTTAATAATAAGATCAATATATTATTCTCTTTTTATTATTTTTCAAATTAAGTTCACTCCGGCAAGGCAGCCGTGGGGAATCTTGGATTATGGGTGGGTTGGTTGCGAGTGAGGAGGAGGGATTCAAAAGCCCGACAGCTTGATTGATAGCCGCACCCTTAATAATTGCATCATTATGCCTCAAGGGGCTATTAGTCGATTTCATTGGATCCTTTTTCGCGTTCGAGAATTCCCTCCTAGCACCAAAATTTGGCCGAATCGATCATCAAAATTAGAGTGTTGAAATTTTTCGTGGGGAATTTATAATTTAATGAGATTTTGTGCTAGGGTGGGACAATCCACTTTGACTCGTTTTTATCACTTGAATTTCATCCGTTTCATTGATTTTTGTTCGAATCCTCATTTTCTTCACTTGTCTTTTGATCAATTAAAAGATTTTTGGCTATAAACCATTCAAATGTCCTTTCATTAGACATTTTTTGAAATATTTGAGACGTAACTTTAACTTTAAAATCGTGCGCTACGTTTTTGTAAAATTTGAACCTCTGCTGCAAATTCTTGAAATTATTTGTATAGTAAAACAGCATAATTTTTCATTAGACGTTTTTAGAAATACTACTGGCAAATAAGAATTGCATTTGTTGGCTTGGATCATTGTCCACTTTTAAAAATGTGCCTGTAACGTAAATACTTGGTATGTAGCATTGTAACATTGTAATTCGATTTCAAACTGGTCCAAAACTCATCATATTTTTCAACATTTAAATTGGACACCTCTACAATTTCAGCGAGAAGCAAAAGAAACCAAAAAAAGTACTTAATCGAAGAATTCGAAGCTTTAACTTGTCATCCAAAAGCTGAAGGAACAACGGTAATGTGCTTCAGAGGATGTGATATATCAATCCCGCCGGCATGCTCCACGAACTCAGCTGGTGAAAATGAGCTCCCATGGCAAACACAAATGATGCTGACTTCTGATCTCGAATACTTGTATAAGAATCCGGTTATGGTTTTCCCATTTGGGCCATTACCAGTAGTCGAAACACAGGGCATATGTGCAAGAGACGCCGCTTTCTGGTCTTGATTTTGAGGTTTAGGAGGCTTGCCGATGATTCCATTTGATTCTTTCGAGAGAGAAGAGGCAGGTTGACTTGAACAAATGGTGGTTGTTTGATCGGAATTAGTGTCTGATTTGGATTTTTCAGTTAACTGGATTGGGCTCGACTGTGGAATACTCGATGAAGCTGCGCCAACAGATCCGTCCTTGGGTTCTATTTTGGCCGAAGAAACATTGCTTTTCATTTGTTCCAACTTATGTGAGCTACTCGAGTTGCTTCCAGTGTCGCTATTGCTGATGCTCCCTCCTGAAAATAGGCAAGTTTTCGTCAAAATCAAAAGTAAAACCACTAAATACGAACAGGGATGTTCAATATCTTATCTAGGCCCCCTTTCTTTCTCTATGTATAAACAAGTCCACCTACACACTACATTCTCAAGCCTATCCAAATCCCCTCTCATCCATCTCTCTTCGTACTCATTTTTCTCGTTTCAATAATTCGACAATTATTGACTTGTGCAAGCAGTTATGGGGATTTTGTGAAGGTGTAATTATATTTTTAAACTAATTCATTGCGACCATCTGCCTACAACTATCAGTGCCTTGACTATCAATATGTTCACATTTTCATCTATGCTAGGAATAATTTCGTAAAGAATTGTTTAAACATTAGTTTTCCTAGAAACTCGACAATGTTGCAACGGTCTCACTAGTTGCCCACAAATAAAACGTCGGTTTCGAGCAGCATTAGCATTGAAGAATCTTTGACATTTACATCAAGGTCGAGACAAATATAGGCCCCCACTAGGTACAAATTAAAATTCAGATTTTAATCTAAGTCAAAATCAACAACTAATTTTAATCACACATGGATAGTACAACTCGTTTATCAAAAGAGCTTTTCAACTAAGCTAGCTTAATTAGCCTTATTTGGTGTATCAAGTCAAAGCGAACCATTATTTTAACCCCACGTCTAAGAGGTCAACAGCTTTTCAACCACCATTGCATCAATTTTTATAGTCCGATTCTCTCCACCAACCAGATGGTGTTTGAAAACTAACTTCCTTGAAAGACCTTATAGAAGAACCCACGTTACCGCTTTCTAAAAATTCTTCTAAATAGAATATAAAATTAACCAAATGGATCTAAAAGCAACTTTTGGATATTAAGAGCTGTTTTTGCCTTTCTCAAAAGCAAGGCCAAACGGACCCTTAAACTTAAATAGTTGCACACGACATAAAAAAACCTAGTTATACCTTTCTGGACCATGCTCTGGTAATCGGAGACGGCAGAACTCCTTTCCAATGAACCATCGGACACTGCCTTCTGATCACTGTGAACCGAATCGCAATCCATCGATGAATTCATATTCGAATAAATCCCCGGGCGAACCACATTGCTTCTATCCGCTTCGCTTTTTTCAGCATTCATACCCCAACCCGGGTACCCATGATACTTCTGTGGGTAAAAACACTGGTGACCCGAATTGTTTGAACCCAGAATCTTGTTTTCTATTACACCATTGTTTGAAGACAAATCCAAGTCTTTTGCAGTCTCATTCATTGAATTCATACCATTTTTCTCCTTCTTCCGAACCGCCTCTGCTGAGAAATTTTCATTCTCTCGAATTTCTCTATCTCCAACTCTGCTTTGAAATTTCTGTGCCTCTAACCACAATTTATCCTTTACACAATCCCCCACGTTTATCCCTCTGGATGCCATACACTTTTTTAATTTTTCTTCTCTTTTCTTGCGGGCTTCTCGTCTTCTTAAAGCCTGAATCTCTCGTTTCTTGTTCAGATCAACAAACTCCAAACCATTTTCCATGACCAAATCAGATCTTGAAAGAAAATCAGGACCCTTCATCTTTTGATCATCTGGGCGCCTTGATTTTTCTGATTTTCTGTAATTCCCACCGATCGATAGCTCCAAACTGAGCTCAATCTCTTTTTCTCCTTGTTCAAAACTCTCCAACATTGTAAACTCTCTCCTCATTTGTCAGAAACTTAAAATTTCATATGATAATCTTGAATGACCCTTCAAAAGTTTTTCTGTACATTTTCTTTGGACTTGGTTTGAACAAAGAGAGAGGAAAAAACATGAAAGAGGAAACATATAATGTAGAGAGAGGAGAGAGAAATTGTAGAAAGAGTGACACGTGGAGGGAGGAGAGGAGAGGCTGGTGACACGTAAAATTACAGAAGCAATCATGGTTAAGAGTTAATTACGGTTAAGCCTCTAATCCTAATTAGCGATTAAATAAATTTAATACAATCTCCGGTAATCGAATTCCACCCACTTGCATGATTCTGTTTTGCCACGTAACAGGTACAAGACGGCACGTACAATAGGGATTCAGGAGTTTGACACGTGTCGGAGGAATTATTGTGTTGGCGGGTAGCGTAAGGAACTGGGACACGTGGGTGAAGATCCTGGTGTCTCCAGCGTATCTGAGCCATCGCTTTCACTACACCATGAGTAAAATGGTGACGAAACACGTGGCGGCAATTGGCTCAGGTGGGTCCATCTATGATGCTTTTGAGTTGAGGTCCTTTGGTTCGATTCCCGTAATACAAAACTCTTGATTATCCTAAACGAGAGGTATAAATTTGGGTGGTGGTGGTGGTCGCAAAATATTTTATCTAAATTGAACGAATAAGTTATTTAAAACTTATATCCAAAATGTTGCTTCAGATTTCAATATTTTTAAGATTCTACTTTTCTTTCGCCCTATATTCTTCTAGTACTTCTACATTTCTCGGATAAAAAAATTTAAGAATTCATCTTCTTATATGTCTAACTAAAGTTGTAAAAAGTTGTGCAAACTGATTTTATTATACTTGACGATAGTTGATTTGTCGATTCAACCACCAAGTTTGTGATTGAATATTAAAAAGTGACATTTTCATCGTCCACCTTGATGTTCGACTCGAGTCTGAAAATTATGTTAAATTCCAATTACATTTTTCAAAAAACTTGCTTCAAACACGACCTGAATACCAAACGAAGACTTTTTAGTGGCAGGATAATGACGTGATGCTGCTCTTTTAAAATTATTTTCACTTATTTTTCTATTGCTTCTTTCAAAATTATGGTGCAGTTAAGCCCTTGATTGATGGTGATTTTTTTTCCCTCAAAAGAATGAGTTTTTTAATAGTAAATTTTTGAAAAATATTTAATTAAAAAGTAGAAAATTTTTTAGATTTATGTGACGAATATTTTATTTTAAGAAATATGGTTGAAAATAAATATAAAAATAATTATAAGGATAACAATGGCTAATTTTAAATAAATATATTACCATCATAGGGAGCAAAACATGTACTTTATTTGGTACACAGCTTATTTGCAGCTTTTCCAGATTATAAGAAGTGACAACTCGACAAAATCTAACTGGATTCGATGTCAGACGACACGTATCGATAAAAGGTATGCCACGTATTCCTTCAGCGGATGGATCTGGGCCATGATACGCTCATGTTTTGGGTGAGCCAATAATAGGAGTAGCAAACCTTTTCGGGTCTTAGTTTCACCACTCAGCTGTTGGGCCATTGAATTTGTTTCTTGCAAAAATAAAACTGCAGCCTGCTTAACAGGTAAAATTGGCCCGGGTCAAACGTCTACTTTGTCACCGCGTTGAACTATCTCATGTAAAAATTTGAATACAGTGTACATATCAAGATTTAAGATTTCATCTTAAAATGTTAATTTTATTAAGAGGAATAACTCAAACTATTACATGTTGATTTATATTTCAAGAATTAACCAAGAAGATGGTAACTCTTTCGAACAAATAAATATTGAAATTCGTGTTCTTATTTTGAGTCTTAATCGAATCAAATTATTCGTTTGCACTTAACTGATTCTAATACCATATTAAAACTTCGGGTATGTTGATTTTTCATATTTCGATAATTAGCCAGATTTATCCACCAAATGAAAGGGGTTGGTGATCTACATAATATCTGAAATACGTTAAAGACAACTTCAACACCATCTAAGATTCCAAATTTGCAAATTTCTTCGACAGTTGGCATGAAAGTAATTGAAAACCGATGAAAAAGGTAGAACCAACCCAATTCTATTCCATACATAAAATATCAGCATCAAGAAACATAATGTAATGACAGTTGAGTTTTTAGACTGGCGAAGGCAGGCTGACTAGAAGTTGACCATTTATGATGCTGCAAGATCACACGATATGCAAAAAAGCTAGCTTTTGTCAGATTATTATAAATTATGTTAAATTAGAGAATTAAATTCGAAGCCTTGGAGTCTCACCTTTTGACATAATAGTAACAGAAGTCGGCCAAGATGAACGTTTGAACAATTTCAGCGAGTAAGATCATTGGAATCCATATATAGCCGGCTCCAACCAAAAACAGGTACTGTCCAGCAGAGTCATAGACCTACGTTGAATTTTGTGTAAGAATTATTCTGCTGGAACATATTTTTTTTTACTAGATTTTATATATGGGGACAACTTATCACTGAGATTTGCTATTGTCAAAAACCGTTTTTGACAACAGTCAATCCCTATGAGACAGCAGATTTCTTGTATAAAATTTGTTAAAAAAATCTGTACTTAATAACATTTCTCTTTGCGTAAAGGGCTTAATATGCACACAGCTGTAAGTCTTTAAGAAATGTTATAGTTGGATAAACAAAGCTCAACATTTATTTTAAAATTTTCATGTAAAAAGCGACTAAGATGGTTAATAACATCACGAATAAATGAAAGCAACGGATGGAAGCCGTGGTAATGACAAATGATGAAACTTGAAACATGATGCATATATCAGCTAATGTTTCGAGTCACTTCTTTATAGAAGTGTACTTTGATTTGAGAAAAGTAAATTGAAATGTCAAGCATGAATTCGAGCCAAATATGGAATCTTTTAACAGAGAACTTGGTTAAAGCCACTGTCGTGCTTCTCTACAACATTAAAATACTAAATGGAGAACAAAAAGTTCATTTTCAGTCGGACCGTGTAAATGTGTGTACTAACCTGAATAATCCAATGCGCGCATCCCAAGAATCTTGCAACACCGAGTGCAAACACATAATGAGCTGTAAATGGTTCGATCATCTGGAACAAAGTGGAGTAAAATGAAACGGTATTAGAATCATTTGCCGATCAGGTATCAGTCTGAAAACCGGATGATACTGAATAGAATATAAACCTTGGTGTTCTGCATCATCCGAAGCTGTGGCAATACTGAAATGGATTCTAAGTACGCAGCAAAAGCCCAAAGAATTCGGCCAACACGTGCATGGTGTGTATATGGATGTATAAGTATGGCTGCAATAGCAGAAGGCACCACCTGGAAGAGAAAACTCGTGTTAGAATCTTTTCCCGCAGTATCAAAGTGGAGTAGCTCTCATATTGAGCGTGCACGTGTTTTTGCTCTTTTTTTGATTTTATTATTGCTCTTGCAAGTTCGGATTAGGGCTTATTCCACAAGAAATAACACGAGAGGATAAAATGTTGTATACAGTTGAAATGCTGCTTCTAGAGAATACGAATGGAACATTGTCTTTACCACATAATATAAGGGCATATTATCAAGCTCTGGAATGTAGGTTGACTTCAACTTGAACCTTATCATGTATATGACCCACAAAGTCGACACCAGTGTCAAACAATCAAGCACGGTGTGAATGTCACCCTCCATAAATAAACTACAGCATAATCTTGCTGCCAGAAATATAGCTGTAAGTTCTTGGGTCTTCAAAGAAAGACCTGAAATCACAAGAGAAGGAAGATATCAAAATCCTAGTTAGAAAGAAGTTAAAAATGAAGTGAATGGGATCAAGGACTTTGAGAAACTTTTGCAGAAAATACAATTGTACATCTCAAGAATAATCCAGTTGGAAAACTATGAAAAAATTTAGAAGTTGAGCCCAGCCAATGATGCTCGGACTCGAGTACGGGTATATATCTAAGTGTCGTTTCTTTTATTTTCTAAAATGTAGGATACAGGAACACGGCTAAAAAGAGTCCAAATTTTGGACACGGGTACGTGTCTTTCAATTCAATTTTTTTAAAAAAAAAATCTTAAATAATAATTAGGTGGCAAATAAATCATCCCACCCCAGCTAACTAAATCAAGTCCAAAACAGTCCCAATTACAAATACATATATACCCAACAGCCCTAAAAACTATTGTAGACCAAGAACATTGGTCCATATGACCAAAGCCCACTTATTAAAAATTATTTTAACCCAACCCAACCCAACCCAACCCAACCCATACAATTAACCGATCATTACATACAAAACCTAACTTGGGACATAAATCCCTTCGTCTTCTCCTCCTCTTCTCCAAATTGTCTACCTTCGTCTTCTCCAAATCTTCTTCAACATTGCGCCCGTTCCGCTTCCATCCCACCGCATAAATCCTCTAACTTTGTCTTCTCCAACACTGCTATTGCTTCTTCCCATCGCCACCTTTGACGCTGCCTATTTCCGCCTCCAACCCACATCCAGACGCTGCCATGTCAACTTGAAAATTGAAGAACCCGCCCCGTATTTCATACCAGTATCTGTGTCGTGTCTCTGGCCAATTCAATGAGTCCGAGCATCACAGAGCCCAACATAATGTTAAGTTGTGTCCTTCTAAACTTTGTCTTAGGAATTTGAATCCTTGTAAATTTCGATTTTGCCCTAATTTGTCGATCATGGAATTCTAAATTATCATCATAAAAGAGAGAAAGAGGTTACAGAACATAGGTGTACGACATTTTCTTGTAAACTTTTTTTTTTTAATCATAGTGAATTACTGTACTGGCGAAAGAGAACGAAGTCTCGCATTGAACTAAACCTATATAAATCTTGCTTGTATTTTTTTCTCTCTGCTAATTAATTAATTTGAGTGAAATAGAATTAGAGTTACTAATTCTCAACATATTGACATGATTAGAGATTAACGCAGCTAGAGTTCTCTTTCTCTCTTTTTTCCATTTCGTAGCAAAGGATGAATATGCAATCCAATTCCAACCTATGTACAATAACCATGGGTCAAAATCATTTTCCTTGCGCGAAAAGTGACTTCCTTGTGTGAAGCAATTGGTAAGCGCAACAATTGAGAGTGTGACTCAAACTTTTACATGTCATGTATAAACTTGAGGTTTTTCGACTTCTCTATCTAGAATTATAGTGAAGACATCTTCAATCTTCACTAAGATGATTCGATTTGTGTGTATTTTGCTAGACTAAACTTGTTACTCGTAAATGAATCCCTTCTAAGATAGATACCAGCATATGCCCACAGAGAATTATAGGGAAAGAGTTGTAATTTTACAAAAATCAACTGTCAACAAGATTAGAAATTTCTTAAATTTTGTGACATAAGAACATTTAATATTATTATAATGGCATTAAATATATACCAAAATCACTAAAATTAGATGTAGAAAATAGCCCGAAAACCTTTTTGTTTGCAAGAAAAAAGGGCTTAAACACGAACTTGTAAATCAAGAGCAATATCCAAAAATATTCATAGCAAATTCCGAAACCCAAAATTAAAAGCATAAAAGAATTAAAAAATTAAACAAAAGTCAATATTTTAAAGAAAATTAATACCAGAGCAAGTCTTCTGGGTGGTGAGTTTATAAATCAAGACCAAAATCCCAGCAAAATGGATAGCTTCAGAGGCAACAAAGAAATGGCTGTGGTCTTTCACACAAAGTTTGAGAGCCACCAGCGCCGCCACCACAGCCGTCACCGCCAAGAAAATCTTCACTTTCATGGACTGCCTCCGCACCCATGCAAACAGCCTGTTCAAAGGCGCACTCCTCCGCCGGCCCATCTACAGATTTTTTTCCGGTGAAAATTGAGACGCGGAAGGGGGAAATTTGGTGGGTAGGGTGAGATTGACACGAAGCGTAAATGCATGCAATTGGTAGAATGGGTTGGCAATAAATTGGATTCATTGAATGGAAAAGCAATTGCGTTTGGACATTTATTGCGTACTTCGGCCGTTGATTCAGACAATAAGAGTCTTTCGTCCACAAACACACTAATACTTTTGACTGTTAAATTGATTTTGGTTAAATAATTAAATAAAGGATAAATTATCGTGAAGGTCCACGACCTTTGAACATCATTGCAATTTTATCCTTAACTTTTTATTAGTAACATAGATTATTCTCAACCTTTAAATAAATAGAGGGGTTCATTCTAGAGGACGATTTTAAGTTTTTCTTTAATTAACAAGTTAAAATATTATTAAAATTATAATCGTGTTCTTGTCTACAAATAAACAAAAAAATAATAATAAAAGAATAAAAAATATGATAATGAAATTCAGATGAATCGCTGCCAATCAATTGCTACCATTATTTGGAATGGGTTGGAAGACAAATTCTTGTAATCATTATTATTATTATTATTATTATTATTATTATTATTTGGTTAATATTTAAAGACAACAATAGAATTGTTCTTTAAATAGTATTTTAGCTTGTAAAATTGTTTTTAGGACAAATTACATTAATCACTCTAACATTGAGGGTATAAATTTTACAAACTAAAGCCTGGGGACAATATTGCAACAAAGGAAAAGGTTGGGGACTATTTATTTATTTACCCATAATAAAAGTTCTTTTTTGTAAAGAAAATATAAATGGGCGTCATAGTGAATTTTTAAATTCCTCATAAATTTATAGAAATCTATTCAAATTCAAGAAATTTATTAGAATTTATGATATTTTACAATTCATTAAGATTTCATTTAAGAATTGCCGTATAATTGATAATCTCTCTTTCTTCTTTTCCCTTTTTTGAGTTGTACAATTGGGAAAAGGATGGAGAACGGTAAATTTGAAATTTTATTTCTATAATTATGTGGGTTTTAAATTAATAAACCCGTGTATGGTACATATAGAAATAATGTTTTAGTAGATTTTGATAAATTTAATGAAATGTGTGATTAAAATTTAATAAAAGTTGTGGGCTCCATGAAGTATGGTTAAAATTAATAACCTCGACTTCACTTTTTTCAGCTTTTTAAACCACGCCAAATAGGAGCTAAATATTTATTTCCATATTTACGATGAAAAATATCATATCAAACAAACCATATTTGAAAAAATATTTGTTTCACTCTCAATTATTCTTTGAAAGTATTGAGTTTTGTCATTTATATTATATATGTAGGGAATGTTTGATACACTAACTTAAATCGAATAGGTAAACGAAGACGCACTACAATTTTTTTTATCAATTATTCTATCTAAGATCGTTCAATCAAATAACTAAACATACCATTAAATTTGTATTTAACTTAAATTTATTTAAGAACATAGTGTATAGGACACACAACCACGAAATTTTATTTTTTTGGTTAACCACTTTATACCTGATTCATATCCCTACCCAACAAGTGTAATATGGATGGTAACCTAACTGTCCAACGACAAAAGAAAAGTTTTGTGGTAGTTGAAAGTTAGAGCTCTTTCCACATATTATTTTATAAATTTATGAGATCACTATCTAATTTAGTAAAACTTAAGTATTTAATTGCTGTATTCTGTTCCTTAATTTACAATTTTTCTCAAGGAAAATTACAGCAGGGTGTCCAATCTATAGGTGTTGAAAAATGTACATCCTCAACTTCTTATATATATATATATATATATATATATATAAAGTTGATTACTTTGCCCCATTTTGGCCCCCATTTCGTGGAAATAAAAATGGGTGGAATATTGTTTATTTGAAAAATGAGTGGTTGAAAAAGAAAGAATTTTTTTTATTTACGTGTAACATTATTTTATGAAAGATTGGCCAGTTAAAAATAGAATAGAGAAAAATGAAATGTAATATTATTTTATATGTTCTTACCAAAGATTATGAACAAATCATATAATTCTATTGTTTTTTGTATGCCAATCTCTCTATCAAGTACAACTATGTCACACATAGTCGACTACTGTAGCACTAACCATGATTGTTAAACTTTCGATTTAGATCTTATGATCCCATGAACTAAAAGTGACAAAACAATTTGATCCTTTTTTATCATCCTTTTAAGAGAGTTCATTAGCATTTTTTGATTTTTAATCTATATGTTTCATGTTTCTTTCTTCCTCTTTTGGGTTGAATGTCTAATTGATTGTTGAAAATGGGTTGTATAAGTAGACTTGGATTCATGATGTGGTGATTGTTCATATAATTTATGGTTGTCATTATTGTAAAAAGGTTGAACCCCAACCTTAAAAGTCCCCCACCGCCCCTGCCCTAAAATATCGTGAGGGAGGTAAATCGCAGGTTATACCTCCAAGGGTACAGAGTGGAATGTTGCTTGTACACTTGCACTTACCCAAGAGCCAAATCCATATTTCAGGATTCGAACCTTTGACACAGCAGCCTCAAGCAAAGCTGGATTTCTCCACCCTCCCCTTTTACCACTTGGAGATGTGTCCTGGGGGCTCATTACTGTAGGTATTATGGCAGGTGTTCATAGGCTTGTCATATAAATATTAATTTGCAATTAAAACATCGATCTTTGATAAATTAAAATGGAAGTATAATTTGAATTCGGGTTTTCATTCAAAATGAAAATTTCATGTGAGTATTTTTTTCCCCCATCTATGAATCAGTTGTGGATGTTTATAAAGTATTTACAGCCTTGATTTTATAGTTTGATGTTAGTAAGTTGTAGTTGTTAATACTTTATTAAGGATATTTGTCGTTTACGTTCTAATATGTTAAATATTTAAAAGAATCTTACATTTCTCGATCCGATCCGCAAGACATATTAACCGATTCAATTCAAATTACGATTATTGCAACCTTGACACTTATCGCAGTCATATGCCCTTCCAAATCGAAAAATTCTAGCTCCACCCAATCTTACTCATAAAATGACTAGTGATTTCTACAAGAGCAACATAAATACACACTTAATTTCAATAAAAAAACATAAAGAGACCAGAGATCATTATTTGTCCATGTAGCAATAAATTATTTAATTCATCGTTCGGTGAAATTGTGATGCAACTCAATGTAATGGAGAATAAATCCAGGCTACACTATCATTTGGACTAATGATGGATAACGTTATTAAAAAATAAACGAGTCCATTTCATACTCTCAACCAATATTCTAAAAGGACTATTTTGCTCGTCCAGGACCCAGGGCTACATGGGCCCTAGACGGACAGGATGTGGCCTTGGATGAGTAGCATGGTTCCTTCTAAAAAAATAATGTCAATTAAATGTTTGGATATAAAACCATTTTATTGATCTTATTGTTCGATGCATCTCATATGGTGACGTTGCTCTTATCCATATTAGTGTATTTTCTTCACGCTTGTCTCAAACCTTGCCTAGGATGTTTTGCTTGAGAGGTGCTTAAATGCCGTGCAAAAAAATAAAACATAAAATGAATTCCTTGTAAGTGAAATAAGAACCCAGATATGTTATGTAGGTACAATCCTTATTATTTGGACCCGGTTTTGACATGGGAAAGTCCTGTGATTGTCACCCAAGAATAACCCTTTTGAAGATACCAAAGGGTCATTCCCCTCCACCAAGGCCATGGGATACCTATCACAGAGGCCTATGCATGATTCCCAAATAATTTGGGATGAAATTGTGCATAGAAGCTTATGTTTGGAAGTACTAACATTACATTTTATATATATATATATATATTAGGTTGGAAATTTGTGTTTCATAGGTCCGATGCTTCTATCGTAATATTCCTTTATTTAGTGTCTGTTTGGATGTTTAAATTACAATTAAGTAATAATCTCATAGAATGTATGAACACGAAGTAAATAATAAGTTGAGATTTTATAGAATATATGAATAAAAATTGTATTCGATTAATTTAAATTATATTGTGATGCACTTAGTTTTTTTAGTATAAAAATGAAACAAGGCGTCAAGCTCGAAGTTGGTCTCAAACAAAGTTACAGATCAATATTTATTTGTATAACTCAAGTCACGATGTGTGATTAAGAATTAGGCTACTTGTATAGTCATACACTTGTTGTATACACCTTTCCATATGTCAAAAATTTGACCATTGATTTATAAAGATATTATTAAAAAAATGAATTTTGTTACATGCACATCAAGTGTTACACAATACATAAATGACATTATGCAATGGATTATGCTATCTGTATTCTTTCGATGTATACAATCATTTACACCTCACTTATATGGAGTGGACCCCCTCCGTGTGAATTGGATGTCAAAGATTCTATACACAGTAAGTGTACATATAATTGAATCCTTATTTAATTGGTTGATGGATATCATTTGATTTTCACTAAGTAATTAATAATGTTACTTGTACATTATATAACTTTTGATGTACAAGTAGAATAATTTTAAAATCAATGTTCTAAATTTTGCCAAGATGTAAATCAGGGTGTAAACATTGACGTACAATGGTTGATGTCATTAATCAATTTTATTCTTTATTTTTTTAAGGGACACATTAATTATTGGACCTTTGATGTTATTATTCTCAATTTCCAGGCATAAAGCGCTTCTTAGAATTCTCGAGTACTTTTTAAATTAGCCAAGTCAAAATGCCATTTTTTCACTTTGATCAAACAATTTTGCCAATCTTCAAAATGGCCATTTGTTGAGTAAAAGACAAAAATATCCTTAAATAATTTATACAATTACAAAGATAGAATTTTGTTTAAAAAGACAAAAATACCCTTAAATTACAAATTAAAAAACCAAACACTTTTCACTTTATATTTAATTATTTATTTAAAACACTTACTCAAATAAAAAATTAATATTTAATTTAATTCTTGTTTAAATATTTCATTAATTAATTATCTTAATCGATTATGTATATTATTTATTTAATATTTAATTAATCTATTTAATTATTTATTTAATCACTTGTTTAAATAAAAATTAATGTCTAATTTGATTTCTTAATTAAATATTTCATTAACTAATTATCTTAATTGATATATGTATATTTAATTATATATTTTAAACACTTACTCAAATAAAAAAAATATATTTAATTTGGTTTCTCTTTTAAATATTTCATTAATTAATTATCTTAATTGGTCCTTATTTAATTATTTATTTTAAACACTTACTCAAATTAAAAAATTAATATTTAATTTAGTTTCTCGTTTAAATATTTAATTTGATTTCTCTTTTAAATATTTCATTAATTAATTATCTTAATTGGTCCTTATTTAATTATTTATTTTAAACAATTACTCAAATAAAAAAATTAATATTTAATTTGGTTTCTCGTTTAAATATTTCTTTATTAATTACCTTAATTGGTTATGTATATTGCTCATTTAATATTTAATTACTTTATTTAATTATTTATTAAATCACTTATTTAAATAAAAATTAATATTTATTTTAATTTCTTATTTAAATATTTTTTAATTAATTGTCTTAATTAGCTATATATATTATTTATTTATTTTTTAATTATTTATTTAATCACTTAATTAAATAAAAAATTAATATTTAATTTAATTTCTTATTTAGATATTCATTAATTAATTATCTTAATTGGTTATGTACATTATGCATTTAAAATTTAATTACTTTATTTAATTATTTATTTAGTCACTTATTTAAATAAAAGAATTAATATTTATTTTAATTCTTATTTAAATATTTCATTAATTAATTATGTATATTCTTTATTTAATATCTAATTACTTTGTTTAGTTATTTATTTAATCACTCAATTAAATAAAAAATAATATTTAATTTACTTTCTTATTTAGATATTTCAGTAATTAATCATCTTAATTGGTTATGTCTATTATTAGTAATTAATATTTAATTACTTTATTTTAGTTACTTATTTAAATAAAAACATTATATCATAATGTACAAGTGACATAACATTATTGAAGATTTGAAAAACAGAGAAGTTCCCAATTATGGTATATTACTCTCTACTCAACGAATGTGTAATATCTATTTAAATCCTATGTACTCTCTATTTATAGTGTGTTATTGATTTCCTCAATTTTCTTTATTTATAGTGTGTTATATATGTAATTAAGAGTAATTAGTTATTTGTTATATAATTACATAAAAACTAAAGTATTACAAACGTTTTAAAAAAAATGCTTACTTTTGAAATTATTAAAATTACGGATCACAATGTACATAAAAGAACGCTTGCATTTTAATGTGTGTTTAGTTTATTAGCTCTACACCACGTTCGATGCTAAAAATTTAATGTACTTCAATTAGGGTTGTCAATGGATTGAATTTTGATCCGAATTCAATGAAATTAATGGGAGATGAATTTAGGGTCTCAATTCGATAACCCAACCGAGATTCGAATTCGATAATTCATTAACTAAATGAATCGATAGATTGGATTTTGATCCGAATTCGATCTAAATCCAATGAAATTAATGGGAGATGGATTTAGAGCCTTAATCTAATAACCCAATCGAGATTCAAACTCGATAATCCGTTAACTAAATGAATCAAATATGGATATAGGTCGTTCCTATCTGATAAATAAATAAAATCTTTATTTTTCTAATTTTTTCAATTTCGGATCGGATACCCGATAACATAGTTAATCGGATATGGATTTAACATTCAAATATCCGTCGAATTATTGGATCGGATCGAATTTGAGCAAATCCGATTCATATATCCGATCCATTTACAGCCCTAACTTAAATGCGAAGATTTCACAATCACCCTAGTCGATTTCACAAAAGGGGTTGGGCAACGTACCGTCAACAGATGTTCTCTTCTTTGCCTCGATCGTGTACGGAGAAACAATGTGTTGTGACAGCAATCTAGTCCTCGTGCTAACAATTTGCTCTGGCACTTCAATAATATGTTTCGTACAAAGTGCCATCCAAACTCGCGACATTATCTGTCAAGTTAGGGGTCCTCTTCGATATAGTTATGTATATTATTTATTTAATATTTAATTACGTTATTTAATTATTTATTTAATCATTTAATTAAATAAAAAAGTAATATTTAATTTAATTTCTTATTCAGATATTTCATTTATAAATTATCTTAATTAGTTGTGTGTAGCATGTATTTAATATTTAATTACCTTATTTAAATAAATTTCACAATATATACAATTATTTCATATATAAATAAATAAAATACAATTATTACAATTATTTCATCCCCACCACCGACACCTCTTCCATCTCCACTGACGTCCATAATGATTCTAATGAAACAACTGTGTACATCCCCACCCCTCCACCATCACCTTCCCTGTCACCATCTCCGCTACTCTTTATCACTGTCTGGGATCCCTATCACCTACGTACTGTATCTCTTCAGATATGACTCTGACCCTCCTCCTCAATCAACGGTATCAGCTCAGTGAGCAATTCAAGCTGACCTATTAACATTTCACCGAGTTAATGACCATGCATCGAAATTTCAAAATGACATACAACATAAATCACAAAATAAATAATATGTATTTCAGGATCGTCGAGGAGAGTTGATAACTGTCAGCTTTGTCCTATGGATAGTTGTTGAATGTGTCAATGTCATCGACAAGCTCCAAATGAAAGACGTCGATCAACGTTTTCTTGTGATGATACCTCGGTATGCACTCCAGTATAAACACAATCCCCAACTTCAACTTGTCAAACATGTCGCCGTATTTCTTGAATGCATCTCCCAACTGTGCCAGAATTACCGTCATAAGTAGGATCGGTGTAACAGGTCTGCGTGCTCCTCATCCAACAAATATAGGACTAATGCGAAGCTGGCAAAGTTATAGCTCAACGCAACTTTGTCAGCAATCTGTTTCATGGCGGTGTTCAAATGGTAATCCATCTTGTAAAA